GAACGGCCCGTTCCAGAAGCAGAACGGCCCGTTCCAGAAGCAGAACGGCCCGTTCCGGAAGCAGAACGGGCCGTTCCACTTCCAACATTTGCCCAAAATGGGCCACAAACACGAAAAAAAAAATAAACTAACTCAGAATTTGGTTTCCGGGGAACCGAATTCTGAGAAGAAAAAAAAGAGAAAAAAAAATTTGAAGCTCAAAATTCGGTTCCCGGGGAACCGAATTCCGAGCATGAACAGTAAATCGTTATATTCCTGTAAATAAACTTGCACAGGTATCATTTTTGTAATTTTTCTTTTAAAAATATTATTTACGTAAAAATTTCCATCATATGCATAATACCCAAATTACACGCCTCATGACTCATTCACCTATAAAGGTCTTTTACAACAAAGGTGACTAGTCTAAGTGACTTGACCTTACTAAGTTAACATGATATTTTTACACATGTTAAATCAACAATCAATTTGGATACCAATTCATAACAACACAATTTCTCGGATTTCACCATTTAAACTAGGAGGTTTAGTATTATTGTTAGGATGGAACATCTTGGGTGCGAGTCTACCACAACATTAGCTTGCATAACTAAGTCTCTCATGAGATTAACCCGTTAGCTACTCTCCAAATACTACGACATTGTGATACTTAGTTAGGGATTTTGGCCCCCAACCTTGTTTCTTATTCAGTTGGTCACTTTATACATGCATGTCTTGACCTTACCCACATACAAACCAACATTGGTCACTTGTAATAAATATAATTTGACCTAACCCGTATACTGTGATCACTTATAATTGATATGTTTTGACCTTACCCATTGAGGTCCTATAAGAGATTCAACTATTAACTTCAAGAGTCAACTACTTAATAAGAATTTTAAACAAGTAGGCTTGTAGAACACCATACCAATATCCTCACAATAGGATATCCAATTTTAAAAAACACTCTCTCTTCTAATCCTAACTCAATAAACACAACACACCCTGATGCCTTAATATCTCAAGCATTATCAACATCATCTCCTCAATAGTTTAATTATCAACCATTTGATCATCAATATACATTATCTCAGATTAATGCATAAATAACTAATAACATACATCAATATAAAATATATAATAGATACAACTAACCTACACATGTTCACCATTTTGTTAACCAAACAACAAATTTTCACAAAGTAAATCAATTATGTCTGATGTCACTCTACCCACACTTGGCTTCATTGAGACAGAGAGTTATTGGGCTTGCCAATGCCTAACACCACTTAACATGTGGCCACCGTGGTGAGATAATGAACCTATGTTGCTCTCACACTTAGCACGACCAAACTCCACGCTTGACCTCATTTCAAGTAAAGAGCCTTTGCCTAACTCATATCCGATGTCACTAAACTGGAGCACTTGGTAGAATCACGATTTTGCTCAATCCACCTGAAACTTAGAAGATTTTCAACATGCAACACAACATAACATTCATACACACCATCAACAACTTGAATCAAACCAGAGTAACAACATGTAACATAAATTTGATCATCATTCACTCTAAAATCTCTTCATATATTCAAAGCTCTCAAAGCTTCACAACACAAGAAAACACATCATTTAATCACCAAAACAAGTACGTTTTGAGTTGTCAGATAACATTCAATTTATCAATCCAACAAAGAACCATTTATAGTTTTCCTTACCTTAAAATCTCAAGAATTTGAGAGAGAAGAGGAAGAAGGTGACTATAAGCTAACACTAAAGTTTCATACCCACATTGATTCTTAGCCTCTGAAGCTTTGAATCAACAACGAACAATGACAACTTTCAGGAGAAGGATACTACAAATACTTGGAAGTTAATTAAAGAGGAGAATTCTTACCAACTCCATAACACTTATCTTTAAGGTTCTTAAGAAATAAACTTATGAAACTCTAGTCTTAAAAGCAATCTTATATATCCTTCTTCCAAGGTTAAACTAGATCTCAACATAGAGAAACCTTCAAACACTTGTATCTCTTCATGAATTCTTAAATTTTCAAAGTTTTCCTAACAAGAAAACCACAACATATAATTATTGTTAAAAATAACAATAATTAACAAATATATACGATGTTAAAAAAAAACTAAAAATATTGTAGCCCAAGAATGATTTTTAAAAGCATTTTCGTTCAAAAGAACTGTTATAATTCTAATTTATAATACTTTTTGTAAGCTGGTGTACTTAATTAGAATATCCTTTCTAGAGAAAACCTAAATTTTTTGTAAAAAAGAAAAAGAATCTGAATTTATTATTTTTATTAAATAAACTAAGTCAAGCTCGATCTTGTATGAGTTACGTTGCAAACCCAATCTTCAGGATGGATGGGAGAACGTAGAACTAGAAAGTAGAAATGGGAACAAATCTTACTCTTTCTTTGTTCACGAATATTAAAAATGAAATTATAAAAAAAGAGAGTGAAAGTTCAATATAAAGCATCCATTCCCGCGAAAACACAAGAACACAAGTTCAGCAGAAAAACAAAGGCGTGGTGAAAGGTTTGGTTCTAAAATTCCTCATCCAAACACAAACACACCATGAATTTCAACACACCATTATCGAATTTTATTCGATGTTGGTGAAAGGTTTGGTTCGTGCAAGTGCAAGCGGCAAAAGGGTTGTTCAAGAGCACCTGTTGTCGCTATTGCAGAACTGCAACAGCGTAAACAACCTCATTCAAATTCACACCCAAGTACTTCTCAACGGCCTCTCTCACAAGAACATCATCATCGCCAAGCTTCTCAACTTCTACATAGCCTCTGGCCATCTCCAACATGCCCACTACCTTTTCGACAAAATGTCTAACCCAACAACCACTGTTTGGAACCACGTCATCAGAGGCTATGCCGGCACCCACACGCCTTGGAAGTCGCTGGAATATTACAACCACATGGTGTCTGCCATGGCTCAGCCTGATGGGTTCACCTACTCGTCTCTCCTGAGTGCTTGTGCGCGAGGTGGGTTGGTGAAAGAAGGGGAACAGGTGCATGCCATGGTTTTGGTAAAAGGGTATTGCTCTAATGTCTTTGTGGACACCAATTTGATCAATTTCTACGCGAGGGATGGTGGTGTTGCGCGAGCGCGCCATGTGTTTGATGATATGACAAAGAGAAGTGTTGTTAGCTGGAATTCTTTACTTGCTGGCTATGTTAGGTGTGGAGATTTTGATGGGGCCAGAAGGGTTTTTGAGGTGATGCCGGAAAGGAATGTTGTGTCTTGGACTACCATGGTTGCCGGGTGTGCTCGGAGTGGGAAGTCTAGGCAAGCTTTGTTGTTGTTTGGTGAGATGAGGAGAGCGCATGTGGAATTGGATCAGGTGGCATTGGTGGCGGCTTTGTCGGCGTGTGCTGAATTGGGGGATCTGAAGTTGGGAAGATGGATCCATTGGTATGCTCAACAGGGGTTTGTTGCGAGGAACCAACAGCAACCCTCTGTGCGCCTCAACAATGCACTCATACACATGTATGCTAGTTGTGGAGTCATTCATGAAGCTTATCAAGTGTTTGCCAAGATGCCGCAGAAAAGCAACGTGACTTGGAATAGCATGATCATGGCTTTTGCGAAACATGGACTTGGGAAGGAAGCCCTTGATCTGTTTAAGACCATGCTTACTGACGGTGTAGGAGTGAATGGAGTAAGGCCTGATGAAACAACCTTCATTGTAGTTCTTTGGGCTTGCAGCCATGCAGGGTTTGTAGATGAAGGACGGAAAGTTTTTGCATCCATGAAGTATACTTGGGGAATCAGCCCGAGGATTGAACACTACGGATGCATGGTTGATCTCTTGAGTCGTTCCGGATTCTTAGATGAAGCACGTGGGCTTATTGAAACTATGCCCTTAAAGCCTAATGATGCGCTATGGGGTGCTCTTATTGGTGGTTGCCGAATTCACAAGAATTCAGGGCTAGCATCACAAGTGGAAAACAAGTTAGTACCTGAGCTCAACGCTGATCAAGCTGCGGGCTATCTTGTGCTCTTGTCAAACATATATGCTTTTGGTGAAAGGTGGCGGGATGTCATTACAGTGAGACAGAAAATGATTGGGATGGGTGTGAAAAAGCCTCCAGGCAGAAGTTGGATCCAAATTTATGGAGCCGTCCATAATTTTGTGGCGGGTGACATGACTCATAAGCATTCATCTTTTATCTATGAAATCCTACGTGACATCACCAAGCAAGCCAATCTGGAGGCCTATGAACCGGAGATAAATATTTTCCTTGATGTTGAGGTGTAGGAATTGTAAGAAAAACATACTTTTTGCCTCCTGCATTCTGGTTCTACAATTATACGTGTTAGCATCTTTTCAGAAGGCAGGTGCTTATTTTCTGGTTTTCAGAGTGGTTGGCAGTAATTGTTAGTGCCAGTACTAGTTTCTTACGATGATTCTATACCATCACTCTGATTTAACAAACATTCTTAGGAGGAATGCTTATAACATTTTGCCACGAGTGTTCCTTCTCCCATGCCACGTTTATGAAAACAATGTAGAATTCTATTCTGGCATGGCATAAACTTTGACGTTCTACTCAGGACAGAAGTTAACATATCACATCTCTCAGAATATCTTGTAACACATAAATTGTAAGTTATTGTAATTAGTTCAGTATTAACAGATGAGCCATTCTTTTTGCCTTTGGTTTCTTCATTTCAAATTCTTTTCTCTCGTACTGACTGTTAGGGCATCTTCATTAGTTTCAATTTGAATTCTATTTGGATAAATTTCTCTAAAAGTATTATATTTTTCCATCATATTTTCTTCTTTTATAAGTGATTATGGAAAAAATTATCTAAAGAGGCCCAAACTTATTATATTTTAGAGAATTTGTGCATCAAGTAGCAAATCTTTGAGGTCCAAGATAGTGCAATCTCATATGTCCCAGACTTCTGGTGTTTGTAACTTGGTTCATACTGGTTCGTGATTCTATTGTTGCTAGGCGCATATTGGTTTGGGCAGAAGGAAGTATGAGCTGGCAGGTCTGTTATTCAATTCTCCTCATAGATCTATATTAAGGCAATTATACTTTAGCTTAATGGTGACTTGTGTTAATGGACTCCTCGTCTTGAAATAAACCAATCAACTTGTACAGTTATGGCTTCTTAATGTCATATTTACAGTTGCCAAAAAAATATTATATATTTTTTTGGATACAAGAGATAACGGAAACCAAAAAACAACCAAAAAAATATTATATTTACAATCATAGAATAAAAACTGCATATGTTATAAACCATAAATGATAATTCTACTGAAATGTATTTCCATTGCAAAGTACGCCAACAGACGTTTGTTTACTACTACGCCAATAAATCAACATATCTTCGTATGACCAATAATGATTCAGTCGGAGAAAACATGCTACGAATTAAACAATGAAAAGTGGTAAAAAATAATCTTAGAAAAACTAGTCACTTATAAATCACAACTTTCAAGAAATTGAAATCCAATCATCATGGAAGGTATTGTCATATCACGCGAACAATGTTTTTGATGCTTGATTTGATTAGTCTGCTATCCCTAAAATGGTGTTTGATGAAGCAAAGTATAACAATAACCAATAACTAACTATTCATTGCTTGAGTGAAAAGATATACCAAGACTGCGTTTCTATTTAACCTCATGGGCGGGTTAGTAATAACTTGAGTGATGGGCCTGTGCCAGCCCAATCCCAAGTCCATTATATATATTGAAGTGACCTTCGAAAAATGAAACTTTGAATTTCTGAACTATCGTTACAAATTACAACACTGTTCCAATGGGTCCTCCTCCCGCTGAAGATCGTTCTGAGATAGTCTTCTTCGATGTTGAAACCAGCGTTCCGACCCGACCCGGCCAGGGTTTCGCAATTCTCGAATTCGGAGCCATTTTGGTTTGCCCCAGGAGGCTCACGGAGCTCCGGAATTATTCCACTCTGGTCCGACCCGCCGACCTTGCCGTCATCTCGCCGTTGTCGGAGCGCTGCAACGGTATCACCGCCGACGCCGTTTCCACCGCTCCTACTTTCGCCGACATTGCTCAACTCGTTTACGATCTTCTTCACGGTTTGTTCTTATCTCTTTACTAAAATTGAAAAAAAAAAAGAACCTTTTTTTTTTTTTGATGTTGGTGAGTGGTGAATTTTGTGTAGGGAGGATTTGGGCGGGTCATAATATCATAAGGTTCGACTGTGTTCGGATTAGAGACGCGTTTGCTGAGATTAATCAGCCACCGCCTCAACCTAAGGGGACCATTGACTCTCTGGTTTTGTTGACTCAAAAGTTTGGAAGAAGAGCCGGTGACATGAAGGTATCACAATTATGTTTCCTTATATGCATTTCTTTCTTTGTCTACACCACCTTTTCAAAAGTTGTGATGTATTTGTATATGATTAATGTTCATTGCAGATGGCTACTCTTGCTACTTATTTTGGGCTTGGACGCCAGACACACAGGTAAATTTGCTAATGCAAGCACTTATATCTTTTGTTGCCTTCTTACTTTGCCATGTTAAGTTTATTTTGCTGCTGTGGATACTCAGGAGCTTAGATGATGTTCGGATGAATCTTGAAGTCCTCAAATACTGTGCAACAGTTCTTTTCTTGGTAATTTGTAATTCAAAGTTTTGTTCAGCAACAGCTCAGCTATTTATGTACAACAACTTTTGTTACAGTTAAGGTTTTTTTTTTTCATATCATAAGTAAAAAGAAAGAACCTTGTGGTCACATCGAGTTTCTCAGCGCAATACATCTTGTTAGAATTTAGTTGTCTTTTTCTCGTTTTGGACATATGACATCTTTTTTTGAAGTCATTAATAGATGCTAACAGAATATGGCTAGCAATAGCATTGCACACTTTGAACAATCTTCTTGTTCTTGTCCTTGGTTTATTCTCATCGACTACATAAATTATAAATTTATATTTCTTTTAATACCTGGATGCATTTTCTGGCTTTTAACAAATTATTTAATCTTACTACTTTTTTACATCAATGGAGCATATATCTCCCATTTGTGCTTTTTTAAGGTTCTAGCACTATACGGTCTCCACATAAAATTCATATAGAGCAGAATACACGTAGTCACATTCATTAAAATTCCCATGTTATGTCTGTTTGGGAGGCGGGAGTTTAGAATCTGTCTTCAGCCTACAATTTACGTCAGCAGGATTACCCTACATGCGGCTTTCATCAGGTTTTACTGTCTAGCTTCAGTAGATTACTAAGAAAATGTTTGATTGAGGAACCTTAATACTTGCACTACTTTCTGAATCATCAAAAAGGCGTTTTAAGGAACAATAATATTTTTCTTACTTTATATTATATATGATTTTCAAAGCTTTCCTTGCTGTTATTCCTCTGTCCTTACAGGAGTCAAGTCTCCCAGATGTATTCACTGCAAATAGCTGGGTTTCACCAAATGCTACTACAAGAAGCCGCAGTAATGGGAAATCTCCATCACAGGGGGGCTTATTAAATATTAATAAGGATTCTGTATTGTCATCTCCTGCAACTGGATCCAAAGACAAAAATCACCCAATACTTTCTTTTGCAATGAGTAGCCCAAAAGGGGAAGTCTCAAATATTTCAGATCCTAATATAGTTCAACAGGATCCTTTTAACTTCCATGCTCTTGAGGATGAATTAAAAAGAGAATCCTCTAAGTCAGATGTTGCCATGGAGGAGAAAACCATGCAAGACTCACCTGATTTGGCTTCCTCCTCTTCTGCATCCCAGCCTTGCAGCAGCTCTATTGCCATTTTAGAACCTGATGGAATATGTATCCCTTCTATTGATGCATCTCTTGTTCCATTTTTCCGTGGCAGTCATAGGATAGAATTACTGCATGAAGGTTTCCCATTTGAGCTTCATTGTACTGATTTGAAAGTGCGGTTTGGAATAAACACAAAGTTTTTCGACAATGCTGGCCGGCCACGATTGAGTTTTGTGGTTGATTCATCACCAAGTCTATGTAATGTTCTTGATGCATGTGATCGTGTAGCACAGAAGTTAACATTGGATTCTGGAAGCAGCTCTGATTGGAGGCCTGCTGTTATTAGGAAAGAAGGCTTCTTCAACTATCCTACTGTCAGATTGCAGTAAGTTCTTGGCCTGTTATTTTATTTTATCAATATAAATTACTGGCTCACTTCACATGTATAATACTGGATAACACTATTCTCACAACTGGGCATTCAGTTTCACATGACTACCAACCTTGCCAATGGGGTTTGAATCATCCTAGAAAGCTTTCTTCAATATTGTGGCCATTTTCCTGGTTTTATTAAATCATTAGAAATCATTGCATCAATTTATATTTATATTGTTTTTGTGCTTTATGAGAGTGAACCTTGGCAGTGGCACAACTGTAAGGTTACTGCCTTGTTACCTGGTGCCTGTGGTCATGGTTCAAATCTTGGAAACAACTTCTCTCTTTGTGCAGGGGATTGGTGGGGGGTTAAGAGTGCATACATCTACTTTCCCTAGATCCCACTTGGTAGGAACCGTATGTACTGGGGAGCCCTTCTTGTTTTTGTACTTTATATAGATTTTGATTGTAGAGGTAAAACCCATTTCTATGATCTGTACGTTTCAAAAGAAATTAGTTTTTAACTATTGGTTGGTGGATATTATCGGTGCAAACAAAAAAAACTGGTTAAAATCTTGAAGTTGGGATAGCTTCAAGAATACCATAAACTAAATAGAGAAATTAATCCAAAAATTTTATGCTTTTGGTGATCCTAGTTGGCAAACAATTAGGATTCCTCTCAATGAGAATTTCTCTGATTTCTCTAACATTTATTTTACAGCATACCTACAGCAGTAGTGGCAGACGTCGCTATTTATGCCACAGAAATATATCAAAGAGAATCGTCTGGAACAGTGCAAAGACTTCTCTTCAGTAAGTTTGATGCTGCAGAACTAGTTTCTTTGTTCATGCCCGGGACACTTGTTGATGCCTTCTTCTCCTTAGATCCGTATGACTATCAGCAGAATGCAGGGATTAAATTAGTTGCCAAAAAATTGATCATTCATTGCAAATAGAAGGAAGTTAAGATATAAGTATAGGTTAGTTATTACATTTACATGCGAAGGTTGATAGATTAAATATTGGTTATGCTGTAAAGTTGGTTCCATTTCATGTTTGTAGTTCAAGTAATGTTCACACCTTTAAATTTTCTAGTTACTCACTGTGGCAAAAATATAAAAATAAAAACTAAGAAAAGAACATGAGACCAAGATTCTCAATCTCGAGAGTTTAAATAATTTCGTGAAAGTTTTGTAAACTCGAATTGTATATCGTAAGAATTTACTTAATATAAAAAATATGTTAAAATACTTATAAATAACACAATAACTAACATTTTAATTTTATATTAAAGTAAAATAGTAAATTGCAATTATAAAGTAACAAATTTTAGTGGCAAATACATAATTTTTCACAAGACATAACTCACAAGTTCTTAAAAATAAAATGATAATAAATAAAAAAACTAAAAAAAGACAAATATCTTAAAATCAAGTCTAAAAAATATTAACTATTACATGTATAATGTATTTTTGGACTGGATTGAAAAAATGGGACGCGAGAGAAAATAAATGGAACAAGGAAGGGAAAGGGGGAAAGAAAGAACCTCACTACAAAGAACGAACAATCCTAGTGCAAAGAGAACGCAGGAGAGGAGAACTAGAATGCATGACACAAAGAGAGAGAATGTACAACAGAGAGGGAGAACGAGAGTCGTCCAACACATAGAGTAAGAAAAATACGTTTTTGGGAAAATACTAAGTGAAACGTATGTTTGGGGGGTTTTGCGAGTGAAATCTGTAATCTTGCAATATCGAAGTAAACTCACGAACTTACTCAAGATTATCCAATATTACTAAAAAATGAGATTTTTAACGAGTTATACAGGTATGATTGATTGTTCTCGTAATTTTGTACCAGTTATCACTCGAAATTGATAATTATACATTGGATTGTTGTTTCAAAAATTGATAGCTTATATAAAGTGAATTAATAGTTGTTCCCTTAAATAATGACCATTTGGAATGGTTACTTTAGTTGATTCCTTTTGTTAATTTTATATATTGTTAGGATTCTCTAAAATTGGTAATATTTTCTTATAAGCCTTAAATAATAATCTTACACAAGAAAAGGGAGAGGAAGATGGCCTGGGCAGTCAGGCAAGTATCAATCATGTGTGCATGTAATATCTCATATGCCAAACCTTGCTTTCTTGTCCTGGAATTTCTAAATGAATTTGAATTATCTTAGATTTGAAAACAAGGTGTTAGGAAAACGTGAACCTTTAGGGATGTTTGGTTCAAGGTATTACATTCTTGGGAATCACTTTTTTTATAATATTATTAATAGAATAATATCCTTGGAAATATTTAAAAATGTGTTTTGTAGAGTTTTAATATTCCTAGATATTTTTTAATTTTTAAATTAATTAAAATAAAAATAAGCTGAATAAGTGAGTTAAAATATAACTTTTCATATTTTTATAGAAATATAACTTTTTCATTCTTCATCATGAGACCAAAATGAAGTAAATCGTTGTGATAACTTTTTTGAGAATAAATTATACTGCAGGAATAGTTGTTTATTTTTTTATTTTTATTTTTTTATCATGACCGAGAGCCAGAGATTCTGCATACTGAGAACAGATTAAGAGTACTCTAGCAGGGGTTGCATATAAGCAACTCCCTGTACCACATCACTGTTAAATCAGTTCTGGTCCACTTTATAAATTGTTTAAATTTTAGCAAAATTTTTCTACAAACAACTCTGCTAAAATTTAAGCAATTCATAAAATGAGTCAGAATTGATGTGATAATAATGTAGCACAGGAATTGCTTATAAGCAATCTCGTTGCAGATGCTCTAATGATCGGAATGACTCTTGGTTTATTGTGTATGGAACAGCTTTAGACCTGTCCCGCTAAACGAATTATACCTTATCTCACACCCAGCCTTTAAATTCTTTTTTGGGACCAAACAAACAGGAGGTATGTTGAAAAACGATTTATAAAAGAGTAAAGGACAACCTCCCACCGAGAGACAGGAAAATCAATTACACCACCCAACTATTAGATGGATATGCCCAAATTTTATTTGGAAATACTATTTGGTCTTCTCATCAAACTATGAAACTGCTATATCCATTCTGGTATATAAGTTTTCTTCTTCTTCTAAATTTGTTTGTTTATTTTATAAGATTTATTTTAAATTGTCTCTTGTGATAAGTATTTTTAAATTAAAATAATCTCAATTACTTTATAAGTTTTTAGCAAATAAATAATAAATTTTATAAATTAATAAGATAAATTCATTCTCTTTCTTGTGATGATTGAGAAGATAACAAATATATGATAATTATTAATTAATTAGGTGAAAATAATCAAATAAAAAGAATGAGATTATAAATTTTAATAGGTTGAAGGTTGATTTTAAAAAATAATACAAATTATTAACAAAGTTAATGTTATTTAATAGATTATCTATTTTTTTTATGAATAGTTATATATATATATATATATATATATATATATATAACCTCCC